CTGGCTGTCCTCAATTTGTTTATAGCAGCAGGTAGCGACATAGTAGGAAACAGTGCTTTGTGCAGGAAAGGATCTTAACTTCTTCTGAAGTAATGTCTACACCCAAGGCTTCAGTTATTCCTAGTGGCTAATGACTTCTAAATGTAGGACTTTATCCAGATGTGTCTCATACTTCAGGTGTTTGTGTCTTACTACTTATAGAGCATCTTTATTTGGCTGTCCCATAGGCATCTTAACATCAGAATATCAAAAATGGAACCAGTCATCATCTCTTCAGACCTACTCTTCCTTCTATACTTCCTCTCAGTAAATAGTGTCTTTTTATTAGCCAAGCCAGAAACTTGTATTGTCCTGCCACCCTCATCCCTGTCCAGTCACCCAGGGCTTGATTCTGATTATCAAACTCTCGTTTTCTCTTTCTTGGATTACTGCGTTAGTAAAGGAAAACTAGTATCTTTTCTGCCTGCTTATCCATTTCTGCATTAAGCTAGAGTAGACTGTTTACAAGGCAGACTTGATAATGTCACTTCCTAGTTTGAAACCCTTGCTTTCCAATGTTACCCTCAGGAGAAATTCCACATTCCTTAGTATGTCATAGAAGGTCCCTGCTTAGCCTCACATTTGCGTCTTTAATTATATATTGATCTATTGTTATTCTTTCATCATGCTAAACCTTCTTGTCTCCTTGATCTCACAAATGCTGTTTTCGCTGTTTGGAACACTTCCTTTCTCTACCTTTTATACCCAACTTTGCCCAAACTCCTGTTCTTCATCCTTTCATTTTCAGTTTAGATATCTTTCAGGAAATCTTTTCTGGTTTTCACCACTCACCCTGATTCCTTAAGAAAGAGTTGAATTCTCCTTATATATGTTCCCATAGTATCCTGTAAACAGCTCCCCAATCACTATACTCACACAGAGTATAGTAATTACTTCTTTACTTGTTTCTATCTCCTATAGGACTTTAAGCTCTTTGAGGGTAGAGCTAGGGCTTTACTAATACTTTATTTCTATCTGGCTTTGAAAGGTGCTCAATAAATGCCTGTTGAATGACCTAATGAATTGTTGAATATAAAATGAATTAACATGCCTGGGTAGAACCGAATGGAAGAAGGGTAGAATAAGGGGGTAGGCTTCATATTTTGGGGGTTATCAGTTCTCAAGAAATGGATCAAATGAAAGTGAAAATCAGATCTGGTTAATTTACTGTATCTCAGTTGTTATGAAGGCCTGTGGCTTAATGTTTTGTCACTATTTTATTGATCTTTGACTAACATGGGGCCATCTCTGTGGCTTGCATGGCCTCTGTGCCTGTCTTTATGTTCTTTGGTAGGTATTGGGGTTTGTGTTCTCTGCCTCTAAATTAATTTAATAATCCATTAGTGTTCCTGCCATAATTTTGAATTAAGCCCAGTCTTTGGTTTGGCCTTAGGACTTTAGGTTGTTATTTGTTGGGTACTCAGGGCAGGGAGGGAAACTGAGTGTGGCTCACAGTAAGTTAGGACTTTGGTTTCGGGCAGGACTTTGGGAGGGTTCTCTTAAAGATGAGGGGCCTGGAAGCAAGATCTGAAATCACATCTTCCTCTTGTCCCAGGGAAACTTCTGTGAGTAAGGGTGCATTTCCTATTTGCCAGGTACTATATATACATTATCTCATTTAATCTTCTCCACAACCCTATGAGGGTGGTATGATGAAGACACTAACTTTCCCAGGGTTACTCTGTTAGAAAATAGTGTATTTTGGATTTGGTGTCTGAGTGCAGAGTTCATGAACTTACCACAATACCTGAAGTTTTTTAGCTTTTTGAAACCCCTGCCCTCTTAGGGGTATAAAAGAGCCTACAACCCACTTACCTTACCAACTCCCACTTTCTTTTTTTTTTTTTTTAGGCAAAGTCTCACTCTGTTGCCCGGGCTAGAGTGCTGTGGTGTCAGCCTAGCTCACGGCAACCTCAAACTCCTTAAGCAATCCTTCTGCCTCAGCCTCCAGAGTAGCTGGGACTACAGGCATGCGCCACCGTGCCCAACTAATTTTTTCTATATATATTTTTGTCCAGATAATTTCTTTCTGTTTTTAGTAGAGACGGGGTCTCGCTCTTGCTCAGGCTGGTCTCAAACTCCTGACCTTGAGCGATCCACCCGCCTTGGCCTCCCAGAGTGCTAGGATTACAGGTGTGAGCCACTGCGCCCAGCCTGTTCTCATTTTCTTTACTAATTTTTTCCTTCCCTCTGAAGTCTTCTTTCCTAAGGTCTTGTTAACTTATGAAAACCTTTAGATTTTTCAAGGGTCTGGCCTGTACATCTTAAGTCTTTGGCCATCTATCTCATTTGTCTCCTTCATGGTGTCACTAATAATTTATAATGGTCAAAGAGGGATGTAAGAACTTTGAGAAATTAGGAAATCATTTGGAAAAACAAGATTTTTTTTCATTAATCTGTTTTGATTTATTAACTTATTGAACTTGTTTTGTTTCCTCAAAAGTTTTCCTGACCCATATTCCTTCTCAAGTTACAGGTTACATTTTTTTCCTTCTCTTTTAGTTTTCTTGAAGAGTTAATACTTGATACATCTACTTCTTTACCTTACAGTTCACTCCTATACCCATTTCATTTCTATATTCAGCTACTTTTTGAAGGTCACCAGAGGCCTTAGAAAGGTAGTGGAAAGAGTTCAGAATTCAGAGTGAGAATTAAAGACTTGAAAAGTACCAATTTTTGTTACTTTTTCACTCTATAACTTATAAAAATTATATCTCTTTGTTAGTTAACATGTGGTCTAAGGACCAATAGCATTGAGTATCACCAGGGAGCTTGTTAGAAATGCAGAATTTCAGTTCCCTCCCCAAGCCTAGTGAATCAGAATCTATAAGTTAACAAGATCCCCACATGAAGAAGCACTGTCACATAGTCATCTTTGAAATTCAGTTTCCCTATATATAAAGTATGGATAATAGTTGCTGTATATATCAACCATCTTAACACCATCTGACTTACCATATGTTTTACCAATTTATTTATTGTCTGCCTCGTCGTGCTAGAATGTAAGCTCTGTGAGGTAGGGATGATTGTCTGTTTGTTTATTGTTGTATCTCCTTTATCTAGAACAGTGCCTGACACATAGTAAACATTCATATTTTTTGAATGAAAAAATGAATGAATGCACAACTTGTCAAATCCGATCATTTCTATTGCAGTCATTTACTTTTCACTGCCATTTAGAACTACTTTCATTTATAATTATTGTATTAGTGCAAACATAGAACATTTCTGTTATTGCCAAAAGTTCTATTGTATTTTGCTGCTTAGACTTTCACATTCCCTTCCCACTCATCTTGAATCCATATTTCTGCAGTACAGTTCTTATCAAAACTGTCAACAATTCCCCATGCCATATTGAATAAGTTCTAACTCTTTAGTATAACCTTTAGTGTCTTTTACAGTTTTATATACTTAAAAGAAAGAATATATATGTAATATCGGGTACATTTGTTGGGAGAGTCTGTCAAACCCACTGCATGCATAGCATCCATCTAGGCCATATTGTATTGCTCCTTGTGGGACTTGGGTGCAAGAGGAACCCATGAAAATAAGCTGATGATCCTTTGCTATGCCAGGCTTAATAAAGTCTTTTGTCTCTGACTGAGGACTTCATATCTTCTGCCAGCGTACATGACACAATAACAGCTCATGAATAGGGCGAAATCAAATCCCAGACCCAAGAGCATTATCCCATCTCATTGACAGTTCTTTAAAAATCCAGATTTTAAGATCACATAATATTCCATCAAATGAATATACTGTTATTTTTAGCCACTACTTTATGATTGAATATTTAAAATATTTTCCCGTTAGTTTTCTTTGCCATTAATATCTTTGTATACAAATATGTGTCTTCTTTGATGGCTATTTCCTTAGCATTCATTTCTAGAAGCTTAAAGGCCCAAGACAGGGAATCTTGATTTATTTTTTTCAGTACATAGAAAGGAATTTTTAAAATTGAAACAATATATATCATATTAACAAACCTCATTTTCTTTAGGAGATACTTCTAAAGGAGGCATAGCTGAAATTACTCAATCCAATTTGAAATCAGGCATCACTACCACTATTGGAGATTCAGACACTGGATCACATTTATCCTTGTCTCTTGAGGACCTGTCTCAGTCAGCAGTAAGTTCTCCTCAAGACAATACTATTGGACAACACACTGATACTCTCAACCAGAAGACGTTAGCAGATACTCATGTAACGGAAGAGACTCTGAAAGTCTCAGCTATTCCTGAACCAACTGACCAGAAGACTAGGACACCAACAGTACCCTCTAGTTCCTACTCACATAGGGGGAAGCCCAATATTTTATACCAACAGGGCTTGCCAGATAGTCATCTAACTGAAGAGGCTCTGAAAGTTTTAGGTGTCCCTGGACCAGCTGACCAGAAGACTGGGATACCAACTATAACCTCTACTTCTCACTCACATAGAGGAAAGCCTGTTACTTTCCACCAACAGGCTTTGACAGGTAGTCAGATACCTGAAGAGGCTCTGAAAGTTTCTGCTGTTTCTGGACCAGCTGACCAGAAGACTGGCATACCAGCTGTAACCTCTACTTCCTACTCACATAGAGAGAAGCCCAGTATTTTCTATCAACAAGAGTTACCAGACAATAATTTAACTGAAGAGCCTCCGAAGGTTTCAGCTGCTCCTGGATCAACTGACCAGAAGACTGGAATAACTAGTTCCTATTCACATGGAGAGAAGCCCCTTATTTTCTATCAGCAGATCTTGCCAGAAAGTCATCTAACTGATCAGGCTTTGAAAGTTTCAGCTGTTTCTGGACCAGCTGACCAGAAGACTCGGACAGCACCAGTATCCTCTACTTCCTACTCACATAGAGAGAGGCCCAGTACTTTTTACCAACAAGAGTTGCCAGACGTTAAGCAGACTGAAGAGGCTCTGAAAGTTTCAGCTGCTCCTGGACCAGCTGACTATAAGACTGCAATACCAACAGTACCCTCTAGTTCGTACTCACAGAGAGAGAAGCCCATTATTTTCTACCAGCAGGCCTTGCCAGACAGTCATCTAACAGAAGAGGCTCTGAAAGTTTCAGCTGTTGCTGGACTAGCTGACCAGAAGACTAGGATATCAACTGTAACCTCTACTTCCTACTCACCGAGAGAGAAGCTCAGTGTTTCCTACCAACAGACCTTAGCAGATAATCATCTAACTGAAGAGGCTCTGAAAGTTTCAGCTATTGCAGCTGACCAGAAGACTAGGATATCAACTGTAACCTCTACTTCCTACTCACCGAGAGAGAAGCTCAGTGTTTCCTACCAACAGACCTTAGCAGATAGTCATCTAACTGAAGAGGCTCTGAAAGTTTCAGTTTTTCCTGAGCCAGGTGACCAGAAGACTGAGTTAACCTCAGAACCATCTAGTTTCTACTCACATAGAGAGAAGCCCATTATTTTCTCCCAGCAGACCCTGCTAGATAGTCATTTATCTCAAGAAGCTCTGAAAGTTTCAGCTGTTTCTGGATCAGCTGACCAGAAGGCTGGGAAACCAACAGTGTCCCCCAGGTCCTACTCACATGGGGAGAAATCTAGTATTTTCTACCAACAGGAGTTGCCAGACAGTCATTCAACTGAAAAGGCTCTGAAAGTTTCAATTGTCCCTGTACCAGCTGACCAGAAGACTGGGATACAAACTGCAACCTCTGTTTCCTACTCTCAAAGTGAGAAGGCTGGTATTTTCTACCAGCAAGCCTTGCCAGACAGTCATCTACCTACAGAGGCTCTGAAGGTTTCAACTGCTCCTGGACCAGCCTTCCAAACAACTGGTATACCAACTGTAACCTCTACTTCCTACTCACAAAGAGAGAAGCCTGGTATTTTCTATCAACAGACCTTGCTAGGTAGTCATCTACCCGAAGAGGATCAGAAAGTTTCAACTGCACCTGGACCTGCTGACCATACAACTGGCACACCACCAACTGTAACCTCTACTTCCTACTCAGATAGAGAGAAGCCTGGAATTTTCTACCAACAGGCCTTAGCAGGTAGTCATATACCTGAAGAGGCTCTGAGAGTTTCATTTGCTCCTGGACCAGCAGACCAGACGACTGGCATACCAACTGTAACCTCTACTTCCAAATTGCAACATAGAGAGAAGCCAGGTGTTTTCTACGAGCAAGACTTGCCAGGTAGTCATATACCTGAAGAGGCTCAGAAAGTTTCAGTTGTTTCTGGACCAGCTGACCAGACGACTGGCAAACCAACTGTAACCTCTACTTCCTACTCACATAGAGAGAAGCCTGGCATTTTCTACCAACAGGCCTTGCCAAGTAGTCACATACCTGAAGAGACTCTGAGAATTTCATTTGCTCCTAGTCCAGCTGACCAGAAGACTGGCAGACCAACTGTAACCTCTACTTCCAACTCGCAAAGAGAGAAGCCCATTGTTTTCTGTCAAGAAGCCTTGCCAGATAGACATCTACCTGAAGAGGCTCAGAAAGTTTCACCTGCTCTTGGATCAGCTGACCAGAAGACTGACGTACCAACTGCAACCTCTGCTTCCTACTTACAAATAGAGAAGCCCCTTATTTTCTATCAACGGACCTTGTCAGATAGTCGTCTAACTGAAGAAGCTCAGAAAGTTTCACTTGTTTCTGGACCTGCTGACCAGAAGACTGGCACACCAACTGTAACTTCTGCTTCCTTCTCACATAGAGAGAAGCTTGGCATTTTCTACCAACAGGGCTTGGCAGGTAGTCATATACCTGAAGAGACTCAGAAAGTTTCCATTATTTCTGGACCAGCAGACAAGAAGACTGGCATATTAACTGTAACCTCTACTTCTTACTCACATAGAGAGAAGCCTGGTATTTTCCATCAAGAGGTTTTGCCAGGTAGTCATCTAACTGAGGAAGTTCTGAAAGTTTCAGCCACTCCTGAATCAACTGACCAGAAGACTGGCACACCTACAGTATCCTCCACTTCCTACTCACTTGGAGAGAAGCCCATTATTTTTTACCAGCAGGTCTTGCCAGATGGTCATCTAACTGAAGCTCTGAAAGTTCCAGTTGTTTCTGGACCAGCTGACCAGAAGACTGGAATACCAACAGTATCTCCAATTTCCTACTCACTTGGAGAGAAACCCATTATTTTCTACCAGCAGGCCCTGTCAGATGGTCAGCTAACTAAAGAAGCTCTGAAAGTTTTAGGTGTTGCTAGACCAGTTGACCAGAAGACTGGGATACCTACTGTAACCTATTCTTCCTACTCACATAGAGAGAAGCCTATTATTTCTTACCAACAGGAGTTGCCAGATAGTCATCTCATCAAAAAGGCTCTGAAAGTTTCAAATGTTCCTGAACCAGCTGACCAGAAGACTGGAATACCAACAGTAACCTCTACTTCCTACTCATATAGAGAGAAGCCCAGTGTCTCTTACCAGCAGGACTTGCCTGAATTTGATGAAGAAGCTTTAATACTTTTAGGCATTGCTTCAGGAGCAGACCAGAGAAATGTTATACGAATAGTGCCCTCTAGTCCCTACTCACATAGTGAGAAGCCCATTATTTCTTACCAGCAACAGTTGCCAAATTATTCTGAAGAAGCTTTGAAAGTTTTAGTAGTTCCTGGAACAGCTGACCAGAAGACTGGCATACAAATAGTGCCTTCTACTTCCTACTCACAGGGAGAACAGTCCATCATTTCTTATCAGCAGGAGTTGCCAGATCTTACTGAAGTAGCTTGGAAAGCATTTGGGGTTTCTGGACCTGCTGACCAGAAGACTGAGATACAAATAGCACCCTCTAGTTCCTACTCACATATAGAGAAGCCCAGTGTTTACCCTCAGCAGGAGTTTCCAGATAGTCATCTTACTGATGAAGCTCTGAAAGTTTCACCTGTTTTTGTACCAGCAGAGCAGGGCACTGGGATACCAACAGGAATTCCTAATTACTACTCACCTAAAGAGAAACTCAAGATTTCAACTGTGGATTTACTGGACGACCAGAAAACTGAGTTGCCAACAACTACCCCTAGCTCCTACTCACATGGAGAGAAGCCCAGGATTTCAACTGTGATTGGACCAGATGACCAGAAAACTCCGTTACTGACAGTTTTTCATGGTTCCTATTCTCAAAGAGTAAAGCCTGCTATTTTATTACAACAGCAGTTGCCAGATAGAGATCAAAGTGAAGATATTCCAAAGATTTCAACTGTCCCTGGACCAACTGATGTGAATACTGGGAAACCAGTGCCTCTCTCTAATTCTTATTTTCATAGAGAGAAGCCTCATATTTTCTATCCACAGGAATTGCCAGACAGACATCTCACTGAAGATACACTGAAGCTTTCAACAGTTCCTGGACCAGCTGACCAGAAAACGGTATTACCAGTGGCTCCTCCTAGTTCCTTTTCACTCAGAGAGAAATCGAATATTTTCTATCAAAAGGATTTGCCAGATAGACATGTAACTGAAGATGCTCTGAAGTTCTCAGGTGGTCCTGGGCAAGCTGATCAAATTTCTGGGTTACAAACAATTTCCTCTGGTACTTATTCAGATGGTGAGAAGCACAAACTTGTTTCAAAACATGTCCAAAGGCAAATAAATAATTTGAATTCTTCTGACTCCAATGTTAGCTCAAACAGTATGCCTTTAAATTCTCAGGCTGATGATAAAGTTGTAATAAATAAACCAGAATCTGCAGGTCTTGTAGATGTTGGCTCTGAGGAAATCCGGGATGCAGAAAATAGTTCCAAAACTCTTAAAGAAATTCAGACACTTTTAATGGAGGCAGAAAATATAGCACTGAAACGATGCAATTTTCCTGCTCCCCTTGTCCCTTTCAGAGACATTGGTGATATTTCATTTATACAATCTAAGAAGGTGGTTTGCTTCAAAGAACCCTCCATGACTGATGTGTCTAATGGTGATTTGCTTCAGAGACAGCCATGCACGGATGAAAGCCCAAACAACAGGTGCATGCAGAAGGATATTGGCACACAGACAAATTTGAAATGCCAGAAAGGCATTGAAAATTGGGAGTTTATTAGGTCAACTACAGTTAGAAGTCCTCTACAGGAAGCAGAAAACAAAGCCGGTATGGCATTAGAAGAAACCCTTAGGAAATACGAAGCAGCCAAATCTGTAATGAGGTCTGAACCTGAAGGGTATAGTGGAACTATTGGGAATAAAATTATTATCCCTATGATGACCATCATAAAAAGTGACTCAAGTAGTGATATAAGTGATGGAAATGGTTCCTGCTCATGGGACAGTAATTTACCAGAGTCTTTGGAATCAGTTTCCGATGTTCTTCTAAACTTCTTTCCATATGTTACACCCAAGACAAGCATAACAGATAGCAGAGAGGAAGAGGGTATGTCAGAGAGTGAGGATGGTGGTGGTAGCAGTGTAGATTCTCTGGCTGCACACGTGAAAAACCTTCTGAAATGTGAATCCTCATTGAATCATGCTAAACAAATACTCAGAAATGCAGAGGAAGAGGAATGTCGGGTACGAGCACGAGGTAAGAACTGATAATTTGTCATAAAAGTAGGTTCAGGCTTATTAGCACTGTAGTTTAATTTGTTTAAAGTTAGATATTTGGGGTTCTAAATTTATTTTTCTGTGAAACTGTTAGAATGATTATATTTTCTACTTACAATCCAGAAAAAGCCTATGTAACCAATAATATAGTTATGTTACAGTATTAATAGTACTAGTGTGAGTTTAGGGTCTTAGGGAGGGAGAGTCTGGTATCTGACAGAGAGTAAGGAGGCGGCTTGGGCTTCCAAACTCCTAAAGCTGTCATGTTTCCCTGATCCTCCCATTACAGTCTCCTTATTTTGGGGGCAAAAAAAGCCTCCAGTTTGTTCTGCTCTAAATTCTTCTGTGTCCTCAGACTACATATATTTTCTCTTCCCCTTTTCTAATAAAATTCTTAGAGCTGTTCTCACACATTAGGGAAAAAGACTTCGCAAAGTATTTCACACTAAAAGTTGGGTTAGAGGTTTAAAAGAAAATATTTAGTACTTTCAGTAATCTCTAGTAGTAGCATTCCATTACAAACAATAGCAAACATCTTTAAGACAATGTGAAGAATATATTTTGAGGGACGATTTACAAGCAGTTCAGGCCTGCCTGGGAATCTTCCCTTGAGGATAACTTCTTACACTGTTTCTTGTACATTTCGATTCTGCAAAAAAACTCCAAGTTTTATTTATTATTTTTAAATATCAACTCTCATGGAAGTGTCAATAACTATAGCTGGAGCTAAAAGAGGAGGCAAAGAGACTCTCTTAATTAGGAGGAAGATCAAGATAAAAATGACTGATTACCATATTTAAAGTGGTCTTTTTGTAGAAATAGCTACAGTATGGTTTTTAAAAATCAGATTGTTCCATCTGATCTTGTTTGATCTTGGAAGCTAAGCAGGGTCGGGCCTGGTAAGTACTTGGATGGGAGACTGCCTGGCAATACCAGGTGCTGTAGGCTTTTTTTAAAAGAGAAAACAAAATCTATATTGTAATAAATTTAATATAATTGAAAAAAATAAGTAAATAAAAATCAGACTTTTCAGTGAAATGATCTCTGTCAAGAATTTCTATTAGGTTGTCATATAATTGAGAACACATGCCTTAGCATGTGGTAGGCATTAAATTGCATGTATTAATGATCTTCTGTGTTCTTATAATCGTTGACAAATTGTGACTTTTGCAATTTATTGTCTCAAGTATTTCTATGCTTTCCCTCCAGCCTGGAATATGAAGTTTAATTTGGCACATGATTATGGATACTCCATTTCAGAATTAAATGAAGATGACAGGAGAAAAGTAGAAGAGATCAAGGCAGAGTTGTTTGGTCATGGGAGAACAACTGATTTGTCCAAGGTATAAAAGAAATCTAGAAATGAGAAAATGTGAAAGAATGGGTGATGGAATTTAGATCCCTTGGACATTGATAATCTTTGGCTAAAGTGTTAGAAGTCTTAATTCTTCAAAAGTCAAGATGTAAGGATGAGATTCTGTAATTTTTGATTAACTCCAAATTCATCTATGAGAAAAATTTATCTTCTTAGAAAAAAAGAACTGATTTGCTTGTTTTATCAATATATTATTAAAGCAGACAGACTAAACATCACCTTATTTTCTCTTGAGGGTGCTATCTTGAAATGCAGATAAATTCCAGCTATTTTTAGATGTGTATTTTCTGCTTAAGAATACAGAGCTATAACAGCTCATGTATAAATGACTTTAATGGTACTTATTTTCCTTCTATTATGAACTATTTCACGCAAAGATGAGAGTATACGTGAATCATTTATATAAAGAATAATGGCAAGCAAAAATAATTCCTGTATGTTAGCTATTCAGCTTGAAAAATAGAACATTATGAATACTGTTGAAGTTCTTTGGGTCCCTTTCCCCAGTCTTATCTTGACATGTATTGACTTCCCTGCTCTTCAGTATGGTTTTGAACTCTATATAGATGGTACCAGCATGGTATATATTCTTCTGAGAGTTGGGTTTTTCACACAGTCTTAGGTTTTTGAGATTCTTCTATCTAGATGTGCATAATTTTAGTTTATTCATTATTACTGTATAGTATTCCAATGTGTAAGTATATCACAGTTTATCCATTCTCCTTTGGATAAGGCATTTGGTCTGCTATTATGAATAGTAAAAGGGTATGATAATACCTGTCTTATAGGATTTTCATATGGATTGTATGAGATAATGCCTGTAAAATTCTTAGTAGAATGTGATTATCTAGTGAGTGCTCAGTAACTGACAGCTGTCATTATTATTAATTCTATATGAATTGATTCAGCTATCATATGTGTGGATTTTATGGCCTGATTCATATAGAATTTCTTAGAAAACTACTCTTCAGTGATATATTAATAGCTTAATTATTTGGCTTATCTCAATTTTGGAAAAGCTTTTTAAAAGTATAAAAAATTAGATTAGATTTTAGGTTTTACATAAATGCTTGTGAAAAACAAAATTAACAAATGATAAAATGAATGGATAATTAGTTGTTAGTTTTAGCACGCTAACTTTAGTTAAAGTGCTAACTTTAGTTGTTAGCACTTTTTTTTTTAAATACCTATTTTTCCCAGTGATCTGCATTTCCCCTATTTTTTTAAATTTTCATGTGTTGATATTTCCAGACCCCTCAGCAATCAGATTGCTTCCCTTTGGGTAGACTCTAGTTTGTCTGTGACATTTTTCTTAAAATAGGGTGTGCTGAATTAGATGAAACACAGAATTTTCACATGTGATCTGACCAGCATGAAGTATATTTGGTAATTCTCTTTCTGCCAATGAATTCTGAGATTTCTGATGGTCACAGTGTACTTGGGCATTTTTTAAGAAACACGAGCTGCTGCCAAGATTTCTATTCTCATGTCTTGTGTCTATATAATGTTTTTAAAAACTCTGCTTTATTTCTTCTTATTGGTTTTACATCAGTGTTCAAGCCTATTGGAATGATTTTTAATCTAAATTTGGTCATTTATTAAATATCCCTTCCAGCATTTTGCCATTTTGTATATTTGGCAACTCTTTTTATCCAAATTAGTGATAAAAGTCTTTCCTAAGACATTTTCCAGAACAGACTATACATACTATATAGCTTGTCTGGAAATGATTATGTGAAAAATACTAAAATTTACTTGGCAAATACTAAAGCTATAAGAATTTTTAAAAGGGAAAAGTTTTTATGAAAGATGTTTATGATTATTATGAAAGCTTGAAAGATGTGATGGGAGGAGGCTGGGCATGGAGTGTTCAAAAAATTGTAAGATATGGATTGTTGGAAAGGAGGAAGAGAAATATATTTTGGGATGAGTATAAGTCTAATCATGCCCAGTTTTAAGAGACTGGAATAAGTTTATTTTTCTCAATTTAGGGTATTTGCTTCCCAGTGATATGTCAGGAGGTATCAGGATAATAAGAAGCCACAAAATAAAAATGACATTTTTAAAGTATTAGTTTTATATAGTAGTAGTTAATTTTTTAAATTTTTTTAGTTAACGTTTCGTCTTGAAATAATTGTAGTTTCACATGCAAGAGATAATATGGAGAGATCACATGTACCCTTTATCCAATTTTCCCCAAACTTAACATTTGCAAAACTGTAGTCATATATCACAACCACAGTATTGATACTGATACAATCAAGACACACTGACCAAGGGCAACACACGTAACCTAAACATCTGTACCCCCATAATATGCTGAAATAAAAAAAAAAAAAAAAGACACACTGAACATTTACATCACAGTAGGGGTGCTTCATGATGCCCTGTAATAGCTACATCTACTTCTTTCCTGTGCCCACCATGTACTTAACCCCTAGCAACTACCAATTTGTTCCCCATTTCTATAATTTTATAATTTCAAAGATGTTTTATATATGAAATCATATAGTATGCAGCCTTTTTTTTTTTTTCACTCAGCATAATTATCTGGAGATTCATCCAGATTGTTGTGTGTATCAGTAGTTTTTGTTTTTATTGTTATATAGTATTTCATGGTTTAGATGTACCACAGTTTAAATATTCACCTATTGAAGGACATCTTGGTTGTTTTCCACTTTTTGGCTTTGCAAATAAAGCTACTATAAACATTTATGTGCGAGTTTTTGTGTGAGCATAAGTCTTTGTTTCTGTGGGATAAATGCTCAGGATTGCAATTGCAATTGCTGGATCATATGGTAGTTGCATATTTAGTGTTTTTAAATTTTTTTTTTTGGAGATACGGGGTCTTGCTATGTTGCTCAGGCTAGGTCTTTAACTCCTGGCCTCAGGTGATCTTCCTGCCTCAGCCTCCCAAAGTCCTGGGATTATAGGCATGAGCCACCATGCCCAGCCCATGTTTAGTTTTTTGAGAGATAGCCACACCGTTTTCCAGGGTGGCTATACCATTTTATATTCCCAGCAGCGTATGAGCAATCCATTTACTCCATATCCTCACCAGCATTTGATGTTGTCACTGTTTTTTATTTTACCCATTCTAACAGGGAAATAGTGATACCTTATTGTGGTTTTAATTTGCATTTCCTTAATGGTTTTTGATGCTGAACATCTTTTCATATCTTTATTTCCTGCCTCTGAATCCTATTCAGTGAAATGTCTATGTCTTTTGCCATTTTGTAATTGGATTTTATTTTTAACTATTGAGTTTTTTGAATATGTTACATACAAGTCCTTTATTGGCTATGAGGTTTGCAAATGTTAATATTTTCTTTCAGCCTATAACTGGGAGACAGAGGGACACCTCATTTTGCTGGGTGGGTATGAAAGTCTAGGCTTCCCATGTAATCTTCACTGATACCAGAGGGGAGGGATAACTCATTGGCAGCCAGCAGGGATGAAAGTAAGTCCTGGGCTCCTACTTGGCCTTCTCTATAGCACCCTGGCATGGGTGTTGGGTTGCCTCATTATAGTTTGCAGCAAGAATAGAAGTCTAGGCTCCTTGCTTGGCCATTGCTGATGTAGGGGTGGGTGGGGCTACAGTTTTTCCTGTGTTGGTTGGCTGGAGTACAGCAGTTATTATCTAAAAGTTTTCTGTCTTGCTAGGATGAACCTTTACTGGTTTTTGGCAAATGAGAGCCAATTTTTGTTAGGGCTTTTGTCTGTGTTGTTGTTCCTGTTGGCTTCTTTAGCTCCAGGTCTCTATATATGAGACAAAAAGAAAACCCGGGGATCTCAACACCATATTATTCCTCAGGTCCCTAGATCCCTAGCCATTCTGCTTTCTTCTCTACATCTTTCAGATTCTTCTTACATTTGTTTTATATGTAATGTCCAGGTAGTTTAATTCTACTCAGCAGGTGAAATAGGGAAAAGTGCATCTCTCTACTCCATCATGTGGGAAGATACAGCATAATTTAAAATATTTTCATATGAAATCAAATGTTGCTATATCATCAAATAGAATGCCAAATTATAATGACTTTTTAGATAAAACATAGAAACCTTAAAGAAATTTTATATTTATGGTAACTTTTGATACTGATCTATGACCCAGGGAAAGATATTAGGTTTTTTTTCCCCTGCTCCTAGGGGTTTTGTTAGGATGTAGATCAGATCTCTGAAATAGAGAGCCAAAAATACAACAGCTTAAATAAGGTAGAATTTTATTTTATTTTTTTCTTGTCATAGTCCAGGGAAAGTGAGCTCTGTTCCTTGTGGTCTCCAAGTACCCATGCTGGCTAGGCAACCAAGCCATCCTTACACTTGGCTTCCAAGGTTGTTCTAGGTATCACCATTTTCAGTGGGCGAGAATAATGGTGGTGGTAGTGGTGGTGAAGTTTGAGAACTTGATTTTAAGGACAGGAAGCGGAAGTTGTATTTAACACTTTTGCTCATATTACATTGGCCTAAACCTACTCATACGATCACAACTAGCAGCAAAAAAAGAAACAGGGAATGCCTCTCATTTGGTGGCTATGTAGCTAGCAAAAGTTTGCATGAGTGAAGGAGGGTGAGAATATATACTGGGGGCAACAGTAGTCTTTGCTATGTTTACTTTAATGGAAAATTATGAGAACTCTCTGAGTGGTCTTAGTTATCATGAGCCTTTTTTATTCTATGGTTAACTATCTTTTTTTGCTGTGTTCTTTGACCTTTTTTATTATAAAAGGATGACATGACCTTCATGGTCAAATCTTAGCCTGGATATAAAACTGATTTTTATATAACTATTTGTATTACTTCAAGTAAGAACCTGTTTATATCTTCTAGGGTTTACAGAGTCCACGAGGAATAGGATGCAAGCCAGAAGCTGTATGTAGTCACATTATTATTGAGAGCCATGAAAAAGGATGTTTCAGGACTCTAACTGCTGCTGAACAACCACAATTGGACAGCCACATTTGTGTTTTCAGATCTTCTGACCCCTCAGAAATGATCGGAGGACAGCGGAGCCCATCATCACGGAAAGCTGGGCACATCAACCTTTCCACATCCCTACACCAGAACAACCCCCATCTCAAAGTTTGGAATTCCTTACAGTTACAAAGTCATTCCCCATTCCAAGACTTTGTATCTGATGACTTCAAAATTAGCAAGGGTCTTCGAATGCCATTCCATGAAAAGATGAACCCTTGGCTCTCGGAATTAGTAGAACCTGCTTTTGTGCCACCTAAAGAAGTAGATTTTCATTCTTCATCACAAATGCCACCCCCAGAACCCACGAAAAAGTTTACTACCTCCATCACTTTTTCATCTCACCAACATTCTAAATGCATTTCAGATTCCTCTATGTTAAAGGTTGGTGTTTCTGAAGGTAGCCAGTGTACTGGAGCATCTTTGGGGGTATTTAATTCTCATTTCACTGAAGAGCAAAATCCTCCTAGAGATCTAAATCAGAAAACCTCTTCCCCTTCATCATTTAAAACACATAGTCATTCACCAGATAAAGATGTGACTATTTTAGCAGAAGGTAATAGGAAAAGCCAAAAATTACCTGTTGATTTTGAGCATTCTCATAAAGAAGAAAAACTCTTAGAAAGATCAGATTTTAAAGGCAGTCATTCTGAACCCAGCGCCAGTGCAAACTGTAGCAATTTTAAGGAAGTTCAGTTTTCTGATAACCATACCCTCATTAGCATGGGCAGACCAAGTTCTACCCTAGGAGTAAAACAGAAGAATGTAACTATAACTCCAGATATTCCTTCTTCCATTTTTCTTGAACAACGAGAGCTCTTTGAACAAAGCAGAGCCCCACATGCAGATCACCATGTGAGGAAACACCATTCTCCCCTTCCTCAACATCAGGATTATGTAGCTCCAATCCTTCCTTCTTGTGTTTTACTTGAACAACGAGAACTCTTTGAACAAAGTAAAGCCCCACATGTAGATCATCAGATGAGAGAAAACCATTTTCCCCTTCCTCAAGGTGAGGATTATATAGCTTCAGACCTTCCTTCTCCCATTTTTCTTGAACAACGTCAAAGCAAAGCCCCACGTATAGATGACCACATGAAAAAACACCATTTCCCCCTTCCTCAAGGTCAGGATTTTGTAGTAGAAAAGAGTAATCAGCATAAACCTAAATCACATACTTCAAATATAAATGTTGAAGCCAAGTTCAGTAATGTTTCCCAATCGGCCCCAAATCACTGTACATTAGAACCATCTGCATCTACTCCACCTTCAAATAGAAAAGCACTTTCTTGTGTTCGTATAACTCTTTGTCCCAAGACTCCTTCCAAATTGGATAGTGGAACCTTAGATAAAAGATTTCATTCATTGGATGCTGCTTCTAAAACAAGGATGAATAGTGAGTTTAACTTTGACCTACAAACTATATCTTCGAGATCATTGGAACCAAGCTCCAAATTATTGACCAGTAAACCTGTAGCACAGGATCAAGAATCTTTAGGTTTTCTAGGATGTAAATCTTCACTGGACTTCCAAGTCGTACAGTCTTCTCTTCCAGATAGTAATACTGTTACTCAGGACTTGAAAACCATACCTTCTCAGAATAGACAGATAGTAACCTCAAGGCAAATACAAGTGAACATTTCAGATTTGGAAGGATATTCCAATCCAGAGGGGACTCCGATATCTGCAGATCGGTGAGTCTCACTGTGATAACAAGCAAGCTGATGGAATTTGTGATAAAGAGTTTAAAACGCTTTAAGCAGATTGAAGTGCTTTGGGGAAAGGTGGTGTGACTTCTCTAATGGGAGGTTGTTTCTGGCTAATCTTCTAGAAGTCTTTCAAGGAATAAATATGTAAGTAAGAAAAACGTGAAAGTAATGTGTTTATACTTTCAAAGGGCGTTTGGCAAGGCTTAACATCAATTGTTTTAAAATATTGTATTTCTTTGAGAAGAATCTTTGATCATCCAATGGTACAATTACTAATTCCCTATTTATTGTGTTGGAGATAATGCTGAAGATCTCCTTTGGGAGCTTGTGTACATGCACACTCTCTGTCTCTTTCTGTTTCTGTCTCTCTTTGTCCCTCTATGTCTTCCCCTCTCCCTCTCTCTCTCCTCTCTATCTTTGGTTCCATTTCAGAATTTCTCCCAAATATTTAATATTTTACAAAGAAAAAAATGTAGCTTTCCGGTGGAGAATTTTGGTAGATACCACTTTAACTAAATGATTAAGATTAACATCACCAGTAAAGCATATCAACATAACGTGCTCCCTGATGTGATGCCCCATCTCACAATGTATTGTAGGAGAGGAAACTGAATTCAGGGATAAATGCGTTAGATTTATGTTATTCAGCCTAATTTTAGTGCTTTGTCATTAATTCTGTTTTACCTTAATGAGTCTCTTACAATGTGGCAAAACAAAATTACTTGTGTGTTTAATGTTTCTTATTGTTGAGAAGGTATCATACCACAGTAGAAAGCACTAGGTTTAGAAAGGAGGAAGGGAATAAATGTTTATTGAACATCCACATGTAGTAGTCGTGGCAATGAGGGACATATATGTGCTATCTTATTTAGTCTTCATAACTTCGTAAGTCCCACAAAGTAGGTGGTGACATCCCTGTTTACCCACTGGAAAACTGAGACACTGACACTGTTACTTGTGCCAAGTGATGCTGTTTGTAAGCAGAAGAATGGACATTCAATTGCTGTCTGTTTAATCAAAGTGAGAGCTTGTTCCCCTACATAGTACCATCCCCCACAATTCTGAACCCTACTTCTGATTCTTCTTCCAGCCATGATCTTGGACATTCATTTAATATCTTTGGCACTTGTGGGAGATTATAGAAGGAAAAGTTTGTAAAGCTGACTTACAGAGAAGTTGTAGAAATAATACAAAGAGTTTCCATATTAGTTATCTATTGCTTGTAACATATTACCCTGAAATGTAGCAACTTAAAATAGTAAACATCTGAAAGTGTCTGTAGGTCAGAAATCCAGGCTAAGTTATATGGGTACTTCTGGCTTAGGTTCTCTCACAAGATTGCAAACAAGGCATTGGCTGCAACTTGAACTCATCTGAAGGCTCATTTGAGAGGATGTGCTTCCAAGCTCACTCAACATGGCTTTGGCCAGAGACATTTATGACATTTAAGCTTCTCTCAGTGAGCAAGTGAGAGAGCAAGAGAGGGTGCTCAAGACAAAAGCGATTGTCTTTTTGTAACCTAACATTGAAAGTGACATCTCATCACCTCTCCCATGTTCTATTCACTAGAAATGAGCCATTCTATGCACTCTGACACTCAGGGGTTGGGAGTTACACAAGAGCATGAATGACAGGAGGTAGAGATCCTTGAGGGATATTTTAGAGGTTGCCATGTACCCTTTACTGTACCCTTTACTGAAGCTTCTCCTTATGTTAACATCTTACTGTAACATTGTAACCATAAAATATTTATCAAAACTAAGAAATTATCGTTGGTATAAAACTGTAACAAAAGTATAGACTGCTTGGATTTTGCCAGGTTTTTCCACAAATGAACCTTTTTTGTTTCAGATCCAACCCAGAATCCCTTCTTGCATTTTAGTTGTCATATCTTCTTAATCTCCTCCAATTTGTGACAGTTTCTCAGTCTTTCCTTGTCTTTCATGACCTTGACACTTTGAAAAGTGCTAATCAGTTATTTTAAAGAAAGCCCTTCAATTTAGCTTTGTCTGACATTGTCTCAAGATTAGATTGAGGCTATGTATTCTCAATATATCACAACAGGGAGCACATTAATGTTGATATGCGTTACTGGTGATGTCAACCCCGATCATTTGGGTAAAGTAGTGTCTGCCAGGATTCTCTATGTAAAGTTACTCTTTTTCCTTTGTAGATACTAAATATTTCAGGGGGATTTGTTAGTTTATGCAAATATCCTGTTTCTGCTTGACCTTTGACCACACTTTTAGCATCCAATCAGTGGATCTTGGCTGTAGCAATTATTACTGTAGTATTGTAATGGTGTTTTTCTATGTCTCTCATTTCTTCTACATTCATTAATTGGAATTCTTCTATAAGGAAGAGCTATTGTTTCTTTGCCATTTATTTATTCCTTCAGTTATTTATTTACATTAGTATAGATTCATGAGTATTTTTTAATTTCAAAACATTAGGATGGTACAAATGTTTTTGTTATGCTCTAGTCAGGGCTATTAGTGTGCTTATCACCTGAATAGTGTTCATTGTATCTGTTAGGTAGGTTTTTACCATTCCCCTACTCTCTCTCCCATCTTGATTTTCAGTGACTTTTATTTCTCTCTGTGCCCATCTGTGCCCACCAGTTAGTTCCAAATTGTTAAAGAGTACATGTGGTTTTTGTTTTTCTATTCTTGAGATATTATATTGGTGCAAAAGTGACTGAGGTTTTAGTATTGTTGAAATTTCCCGCTTGATATTGGAATACATTCTTAAATGTGGTTATGTTATACAACATTTTAATGCGCATTTCTTGCTGTATATTTTTTGCTAATGACTTATTACTTGTTTATATTTATTTTAGACTATGGGAATGATGTTAGACAAAAAGCAAATTCGAGCAATTTTCTTATTCGAGTTCAAAATGGGTCACAAAGCAGCGGAGACAACTAGCAACATCAACAACGCATTGGGCCCAGGAACTGCTAACAAATGTACAGTGCAGTGGTGGTTCAAGAAGTTCATTCAGAGCCTTGAAGATGAGGAGCACAGTGGCCAGCCATTGGAAGTTGACAACAACTGATTGAGAGCAATCATCAAAGCTGATCCTCTGACAACTACGTGAGAAGTTGCCAAAGAACTCAAGGTCGACCATTCTATGGGTAATTCAGCTTTTGAAGCAAACTGGAAAGGTGAAAAAGCTGGATAAGTGGGTGCCTCATGAGCTGACCGAAAATCAAAAAAATCATTGTTTTGAAGTGTCGTCTTCTCTTACTGTATGCAACAACTAACTCTTTCTTGATCGGATTATGACATACAATGAAAAATGGATTTTATGCAACAACCAGCTCAGTGGTTGGACCGAGAAACAGCTCCAAAGCACTTCTCAAAGCCAAACTTGCACCAAAAAAAGGTCATGGTCATTGTTTGGTGGTGTGCTGCCAGTCTGATCCACTCCAGCTTTCTGAATCCTGATGAAACCATTATATCTGAGAAGTATGCTCAGCAAATCGATGAGATGCACTGACAACTGCAACGCCTGCAGCCAGCATTGGTCAACAGAAAGGGCCCAATTCTTCTCCACGACAGTGCCTGCTGCACATCACACAACCAATGCTTCAAAAGTTGAAGGATCTTTTTTATAAAAGGACTTCTTTTCTTTTGGGTAGATACTGAGAAGCGGGATTGCTGGGTTGAATGTTAAGTCTATATTTATTTCTTTTAGAAATATCCATACTGTTTTCCACAGAGGTTGTACTAATTTGCAATTCCACAAATAGAGTCTAAGTGTTCCCTTCTCTCTTTATCCATGCCAACATCTAGTGTTTTTTGACTTTTTAGTAGCTATTCTGACACAGGAAAGGTGATATCTTATTGTGATTTTAATTTGCATTTCCCTAATGATTAGTGATGTTGAGCACTTCTTCATGTCTGTTGGTCATTTGTCTTCTTTTGAAAAGCTTCTGTTCATGTCTTTTGCCCGCTTTTTAATGGGGTTGTTTGTTTTTTTCTTGCTGATTTGTTTGGTTCTTTGTATTAGGTTGGTGCAAAAGTAATTGTGGTTTTGGACCATGATTTTTAAATCATCATAACTAGGCTCAAACATATCTTTATTAATCAAAATAGGAACTGTTATAATCAACACATTTTTGCTGATGAGAATAAGTTTGTTTATTCCTGTAGTGTAAAAATTCATGCTTTGGGATTTGATGAACTCTTGGAAAGCATTTTCTGCATCTTGCTGGTTGTGGAAGCATTTTCCCTGCAAAAAGTTGTCGAGATGCTTGAAGAAGTGGTAGTCGGTTGGCGAGAGGTCACGTGACTATGGTGGATGAGGCAAAACTTCGTAGCCCAATTCGTTCAACTTTGAAGCATTGATTGTGCTATGTGTGGTCGGGAGTTGTCATGGAGAAGAATTGGGCCCTTTCTGTTGACCAATGCTGGCTGCAGGCTTTGCAGTTTTCAGTGCATCTCATCGATTTGCTGAGCATACTTCTCAGATATAATGGTTTCATTGAGATTCAGAAAGCTGGAGTGGATCAGACTGGCAGCACACCACCAAACAGTGACCATGACCTTTTTTTGGTGCAAGTTTGGCTTTGAGAAGTGCTTTGGAGCTGCTTCTCGGTCCAACCACTGAGCTGGTCATTGCCAGTTGTCGTATAAAATCCACTTTTCCTCACACGTCACAATCTGATCAAGAAATGGTTCGTTGTTGCATACAATGAGAGAAGACGCCACTTCAAAACAATGATTTTTTTTGATTTTCGGTCAGCTCATGAGACACCCACTTATCCAGCTTTTTCACCTTTCCAATTTGCTTCAAATGCTGAACAACCATAGAATGGTCCACATTGAGTTCTTCGGCAACTTCTCACGTAGTTGTCAGAGGATCGATCACCTTCGATGATTGCTCTGAATTGGTTATTGTCAACTTCCAACGGCCGGCCACTGTGCTCCTCATTTTCAGTGCTCCATCTCCTTTGCAAAACTTCTTGAACCACCACTGT